TGGAATTTGAAAAAAAAATCTGCCCTCCACAAAATCCTCAAGTATTCATTTTACCCTCTGTGGAACTGCAGTCTGTGGTAGTTTTTGGGAGCTTTTGGAGAGATCACTCAGGCAACTCTGATTTATTTTTTTCTTTTTAGGCATTCAGGATTTTTTTCACAGTAAACAAAACCTGACTTGTAGATGGATTAAAAACGATTGCCACGTGAAACAGGTAGGGTTTACTAACTGGTGCTACTAATTGATGTAATTATCACTAATTAAATGTTCTAAAGATAGTGATTTTTGTAATGCTTTTTCAATGGGTTGAAGAGGTTTATGAAGCTGATCAACGCAGAGCAGTTCTAGAATTGTATATTAAGACTAAATTAAGTTAGTGCTACAGAAGATATGTTCCTAATGTATTTAGCCTGGAACAAAACCAATATCACATTTAGCTAACCAGGTCACTTGATAAAGGAGTGCACAGTAGGAGATTTGCTTTTAATGAATATTCAACCTAAAAAAATAGCTATATTCCCACTTTCATGCTAGTGAAGACTGAGTGCTTATATACTAATGGAGAAAATAATTGCAGAGGGTCATGAATGTGAATGAATAAAAAAGGAATTTGTTCAGATTTTCTCAGAAAATACGTTATGCTTGTTCTTGCCTCTCAGTTAATTGATCTGCTTTTTCAAAGGCAATTTGGTAGATCCTGTCAGCACGCAAATACCTCTTCAGAGTCTGTTGTACAAGTGGCATTTAGGCTGACTAAAATTTATGTTTTGTGTTCTTTTGTTGTGGAGGAGGTAATTCCTCTGATTTGATAACTTGTTATGCCACAGTCGGGAGTGATTAATATTGATTACAAATATTTGCTATTTGCAAATGGTGATTGAAAGGCACTTCCCTAAAGTGGTGCATAGTGACGGTTCTCAGTGAAATAATTGCTGAGGTGAAAACATGATTATTAAGATAAGTCAATCATAATGACCTTAAATAGCTGATTTCCCAGTTTTTAGTTGCCTGTTCTGTACTTCAGCCTTGTATTTCTGGGGTTTTTTTCAAAGGAAATTAGGAAATCCCCATGTGCTCAGAAACCATTTTCGAGATGGTCACTTTGTAGCAGAGTTCAGGGGCTTGTGGGACTTGTGAGGGGGGATTTCTAAGGGATTTCAGCTCCATCTGACGTAGATGAACTGTTCTGCAGCCTTCTGTCTGCATGAATTCTTCCTAGTGAGAGCTTCAGAAAGGACGTGTTGGGCATCTTGGTCCTCTGCTGAGGTTTTAAATTACCTCGTTGCTGCATACTTGCAATGACAGTCACCATATTTGACTTCAGTCCTTCCCTTACTCTAGAATTAGGTATGTCTGACATCGAGTAATTCTGTGTCAGAATCCCTCTGTCTATACAGTTCTGCAATGTCTCTGCAATGTCTCTTCACTCTGAGTAAAAGTATTAATGGCAGCAACAAAACATCTTCTTACTTGTTACTTTCATGAAAACTCTTGGATTACGGTTTAATTCCTGCTTCTCAGCATGCTGACCAGAGGCCTCAAAGGAGTATTATACATATTATTTTGTCCCTATATATTTTGAATACGAGCTGTATCAGAGATATTAAACGGTGTTTTAACCATAATGGTCTATTAAATTTGTGCCTCTTAGAGTGTAAATTATTTCCATAATGGACGGTGATTGCTCTGTTTTGTCAATCCCTCATCAGTTCATGGACCCTGCAGGGTGTATGTGCAAACTCGTGTTTGAGTGATTTTATATGCAACCCCCATTATTGTTTGTACTTCAGTAAACAGCCTCTAATGTCTAAAGCTGTGTGTGAGCTGTTACTTAACAGCTAAAAAATTTGCCAGAACTGTTATTGCCCTCCTAGCAGAGACCTTGTTGTCTGTGAATGCTCAGACAGATCTTGAATCAGATTATTAACTCCTTTGCAATCAGTTTTCCTTCAGTGTTAATTGTGCTGCTAAATCCTAGGACATTGTGTTTAAAAATAACTCAAAAGTCAGTGTCACATCACAGACACATTTTGATGCTTAAAAGAACAGATGCCCAAGTTGTGGGCACAACCTGCCTGTAACAACTCGAGTTTTGTGGTGAATTGTGTGTTTATGTGCACAGGAGGGATGCTTGTTATGTTTGTACACACACATCTCAGAACCACCTCCCTTCATAACTTCTCCTTTGTCACCTCTAATACACGATCATTGTGTATCATGGCAGGAGGTCCTAGGAGTTATTGGCAGGTATTTAATGTATCAGACAAGCCTTTACAACAGGACAAAAGGCCCTGCTTGGTGGCTCTGAGTCTTTTTTAAAAAAAAATTCAGGTTATAGAGTTTTACAAATGGAAAAATATTAGTCTTGTTCTTCCCCCACAGAAGTACACACATAGCTCTACCTAAGATGTTTGGTATTTGGATTAAATATTAGCTCCCTTTTGTTCACAGTCTGTGCAAGCAGCTTGTAAATTATGGAGTAAAAATGAGGGGCTTGTAACCACCAGTAAGAAGTAATGCCTGTGCATCCTGGACTTAAACACTTAAAAATGGTGCTGATTTAACATTTCTGAGCTTGCAATAAGAGGTGTAGGGGCAGAGCTGGGCTTTTTGCCTTTGAAGTGTGTACAAGTCATTCTCTCCCAGGTAGCAGTGTCTTTGTTGAAGTGAATGCCAATGATAGTTCTACATCTCAATAAAATGATGATACCAGGTTATAGATAAGACCTTTCACCCTGCAGAATCCTTAGTTGCTTTTCTAAACCCCCATAATTCCTTAATCCTGCAAATACAACTATATTGACAGAAAATTGTGGTAAGGAGGAGGTTTAAGTCAAGGTTAAGGGAACAGAGAAATACTGTGAGTTCCCTGCTGTCCACAGGAACATCTGTGCAATTTTAAATGAAAGGCTGGCTTTGTGGTATCAGAAATCGAGAGAGCTTTTCTATTTTGTGGCACTCACCCAGGGCAGCCAGGAAAGAGGTTTTATTCTTGCCTGCGATTCTCCCATCAGAAGTAAAGGTAATAACGCTCCTTATTGTGCCCCATCTATTTGCAGAACAAGTTCTGTGGAGTGCAGGAGGTCTTTTTTTAAGTCCAGGTCTGTACTGCAAAGTTGTGCTGGTGTCACTGCACGAGAGCTGAGGTTATGAAAAATTAATCCTCCCTCACAGAAATCATGTTGTTAAAGTTCTTTCTGGCAAGGATGCTAACCTCCTGTCTCTCCATCCTAGTTCTGCTATGAAAATGAATGTTCATTTGCAAACATGAAGGAAAACCATTAGCATTCTTTCAAATCAAGATGTAATCACATCTTCCTGATTTCAAAGCCCTTCCCTCTCTGCAAATCTCATTAATTATCCCAGACAGGTGTTTTTCAACAAAAGCTCCTTCTTGCGTTCTCTCTTCTCCTCCAGTCTCCTACTTGAGCTAATGAAGCTTCAGCGATGTTTGTGGAACAATGGAGCAATTTATGTAACTGCAGGTTGGAGAGAACAAATAAGGAACGGTAATTGAGGAGGGGCCAGAGGAGAGGCTGCCGGAGCAAAGTTCCTCTGTCTGTGTAAAGAGATCTCTCATTATTGGTGATTAGGGAGGAAGCATTACAGAGCCAAAAAGAAATTAGCTGTGCTGAAAAAAACCTGTTCTTTGATAGTTTATTGATATGCAGATGATGCTTTATGAAAGGACCACTGACCTCGTTAGGTCCTCGAGTTAATTGGAGAGTAGGTTTGGGTTAAGGGAGGGGAACTGGCATTACCTCCACACAGGTCCTGTGGGAAGTCACTGATTTAAAAAACTCCTGGGCATGACTTACAGCTGTGTGAAAGCTGTTTACCAACACCCTGTGCATAAATTGGATGATTCTCTCTGGAATGAGCTGGGCTTCTTTTCTGTGTGGAAATGTGCTATGGAATTGAAGACTATGTGCTTCCAGAAATATTTGATGCATATTTACAATTACAGCAGGTCTCCTTTTCTGGTTGTTGAAAACAGGTCCTGCCTGCTCAGTTTATGCCTAGACAATAGGAAAGAGGTATTTTTTCTAGCAGGTATGGTAATATAAATTATACACAGGTGTTTTGCTGGGCTGGTTGACAAGCAAGCCCTGCCTTGTCCAGTGGTTATGCATTTTCACAGTTCTTATTTGATTATGCCTAGAAACTTCCTAGTCCCTACCTCTTCCAAATGCATATAGACATTTATATTCTGAACACTAAAAATCAGCAGAATTCAAATACTCTTTCAAGCATATTTGAATTAATCATCAGCTACTCCGAAACTTCTCGACCAGCTCAGAACGTTTTCAGTATGAAAACCAGGCTCAGGTGTGACCTCATGTCCAGGCATAAGCAGTTATTTTTCTTTTTTATTTGGCAAGGCAAGAGCTCTTATTTCAGGAAGGAATATAAGTATCTTCCCTGCAAAATCCCCCAATGAATAAAATTACTTTCAGCCAAGTGTAGATAATTCTGCCCGTATGGAGGTCAGAGAGCATGAAAATACTGTGCAAAAGGCTCACAATGAAATATGTCCATTGCTTCACTCTTTGGGAAATGAAGGTGTAACAACCAGTATCCTTTTATCAGACTCAACAGTCTAGTAGTCCCAACTCTCCTGATGAACAAAGGAAGAGAACCACAGCTGGAAACTGGTGCCTTCATCACGTTTTAACTCTTTCGTTTTTAGGCAGGCCAGTGGGTCTTGTAAGTCACAGGGAGAGTTAATGTGACCTTTCCGGATCTCAGTTGCATGCATCATGCTCTGGAAAAGACCCCAGGCTGGAGAGAACTGAGTGATGTGCACACTCCACACCCTCAGTGTGCTGTCAGGAACCTGCTAACCAGAGGTAAGAGACACTCAGCTGTTTTGGAAGGTGGGGGTTTTTTGAGATTCATGGACTTTAACTGCCTCCTCAGGCAAATCCATGGATGTTTTACTTCCAGTTGGATTTTATCATTCCCAGCAACACCTTGTTTACCATAAAATATTCGGCAAGCTTCATATAAAAATACTTTATTAGGGTTTTCAGAAGGGAACAGACACAGGGAAAGGTACGAGCAGGCTCAACAGTACATCCTGTCAATTCATAGTACATGTATTTCAAAGGGTATATTTTAACCCATATATAAACAGACTGACAGAACATGTCACAAGACTGAAATATCATATACACAAGACAAGACATCATTTAAATCCTGACTTCAGATGACAATACTGATCTACTTAACAAATATCATTGTGATACAGTTGGATGGCATTTTCTTTTTTACTCCTAGCAGCAGCCAAAAAGCAGTTTGCTTGCAACAGCAGGGTGTAATTGGCGATCACAACATCGTAAGCTTTTGGGTACTACTTTACAGCATTTGGGCCTCTATTTGTAAATGTGGTTTTCAGACTTATGATCTTGAGCTTTCCCTGTGCTATACTGTTAAAAATGAGCATTTGTCATGGCAACTAATTACATGTTTGTGTTACCACATCACTGAGCAGTGCCAACAGAGGTGGGCAGTGGAATTCGTCTGCTTTTCAGTCATACTCTCTGCCCAAAGAGGTTACAGAACACACAGGCAGGTGTGATGAAGCATGAGATGGGAAGCAGAGATAAAATGCCCAAGATTTTACGTTAAAACCCAAGGCTAGAGCCCCTGGTCTCCTGAATCTGGAACTCTGTCTGTGGAATGAGTTGACTGCTTTGAAAAAAATTAAAAGAATTGATGCTCATATTGACTGATTATGTTGATCTCCATTCAAGTGATGTATTTTAAAAGGAAGAATGCAAGTGTTCTGAATCTTGCTAAAATTCCCCACTTCTTGGGGAGTGGAAGGGACATCTATTGCACCCCACGGAAGAGGGATCCAGATTATGGCTGCAGCTGCTGTAGCAAAAAGGATAAATGAGGTGTTTTCCTTCTGAGCTTCATGCTTTTCTTTATCATCACATACGTGTGACAACTTAAGAAAAAACACTCCCATTTATGGGAAAAATCAGATCTGCAAACAGCTAAACTGTAATTTAGTGCCACAGTTTAAGGTCAGATATTATTTTGTTAGCTTTTATTTTCCAGTTTCCAATTTTCTTTATTTTAACAAAATGCTGGTGCTGCTCAGCCTGACTAGGTGGCAGCAGAGCTCTTCTGTGGCATCTGCAAGTGGCGGACACAGACTTCACCGTCTGTGGTTAACGTCAAAAAGAAAAACCCCTTTACCCTCCTATGCTGTGGGATTTTGTTGTTGATGAACCAGAAGAAATTAATAGTGGTCTCACTGCTGCCTTCCTCACCTGCCCCAGGCCACTGCTCCTAGGTTCTTCCAAGGAAGGAGGCTGCATTCCTACACCAATACTGGAGCATTAAACCAAGACTCTCCTCATTCTCACACAGGGCTGGCTTCCCTTTCAGCAGTTCTGAAGGGCATCGTGAGGTTGAATCTTCAGCTTCTTGGGACAGAGGAGTTTAATAAAAGCCCTTCTGAAGCTGTAGTGGCAGAGAGGGTACAGGACAGGGTTGATGGCCGAGTTGATCCACAGCAGCCAAAAGGAAGTCTCGTACCAGTACTCAGAGATGCAGTGGCCATGGCAGCCAGCACGGATGATCATCAGGAGAGTGTATGGTGCCCAGCAAATCCCAAAAATGCCCACGATGATTGCCAGGGATTTGGCCACTTTCTTGTCTCTAGAGAGCCTGAAGCGTTGAGTTATGCTCTGGGACATGATCTTCATCCGTTTCTCTAAGGACGGAGTGGATGCTGAATTTTTACAGCTCTTTTTGTTGCAACACTTGGGTTTTCCAGAGCTCTCCGAGCTTGTTGACAGCAGGTCTTTGGCACCCAGGCTGGAAGTGGAGGCTGTTGCTTGAGCTTTGGTCTTAGAGAGGTTGGGGGTTTCAGCTGACTCCTTCTGCTCCCACTTACAGCATTTCAAAGAAAGCTTTGCTTCTGGGCTCGTTTCCATCTCTTCAGCGAAGGACTGGTTGTGCACTTCATGGAAAGCGTCCAGGCGTATCTTGGTACGCTTCTGTATGTTCAGGTAAATGCTCAGGTTGAAAAACATTACACTGATGAAAGGGGTGAAGAACTCCAGGGTAGAGGCTGTCATGAGAAAATACCAATTGTAGAAAAACTCAGCGTAGCACTCCCCAGTGGGGATGATGCTGCGGCCCGATATGTACTCCCAGCTGATAATGGCAGGTCCATACAGCAGGAATGCCAACACCCACACCATCACCATCTTCAGCACCGCTTGCTTGGTGTTGCCTTGCTGGGCTCTGTAAGCGACCTGCAACGGGAAAACCTTTTCTTAAGGATGGTCCCACACCCCAGCTGCTTGAGGCTCCTCACAAATGAACTGGTAGCGTTCCTGGTAAAGTTGCTAGGCAATACCCCAGCGGTCTAACAAACTCATATGCCTTAGGCAACGGGAGCAATTGCTAGATAAATCACACTCTTGCAGGGAAGATTTAGAACGCTCATTTTGCAGCTCCGAAATGTGGTGTCTGCTTGGTGGAAATGTACTGACTTGGTTGGAGCCTGGCACTCACCTGCACCCACCACTTGCCTGAGCTGTCACTTGTAACCCCGAAGGAGACGCATGCATCAAACTCCTGGACAAGGCAGGCATCCAGCTCTGGCTTTCTCTGAGACTTGCAGCTAATCTGTGTTGTATTTGGAGTCGGGGAAGGAGCAAGCAGGAACGGATCAGACCTGCCTGTGGTGAACTGCTCGTTACCTCCTGTGATGGGATGAGCATTTTCGTCTCCCCACACACCCAGAGACCTCAGGGCTGTGCCCTACCAAAGCTGGCACTGCAATCTACTGCCTTGGTAGCCAGGGAGAAGCTGTGAGTCTGACTGCAATCCACTTGTTCGTTCTGGAGATAATAAGCCCCTGCAAGTTAGTAATAGGTCTGCTTGCCTCGCTGGCTCCCTTGTACACTACTATCCTGTCACAGGGAAGGGAACACCTGCACAATGGGGTCTGAGGCTTAAGTGATTTAATTACGCCAGGAATACTAATCTGAAACCACAGCTGAATTATGTATTTGTGGATAATTATTGCTTTCCATCACCAGGCTTGTGATGGTTTTGATGGATTCATAATTTCTGGAGGATTCAAAGAGCTTTTAATTATTGCAGAGAATCTGGAGAATAAGGCAGGAGGAGAGTTATTTCCCTCTCAGCTGCCATGACAGGACTCACCGCTCTTGTCACCGAGAGGAATCTGTCATAGCTAATTAGTACGATGTTGAAGACCGAAGAGGTGCAGAGCAGGTAATCAACTACCAGCCAGAGTTTGCAGAGGCTTCTCCCGAAGATCCATCTCCCCGTCAGCACATAGGGCACGTACAGCGGGATGCAGAAGGCACCTGCAACCGGAGGGGTCCGTTCCCGTTGAGAAGCGGGGTTCTGCAGCGTGGTCGCCCCCGGGGAGATGCCGCGCAGGGACCGCGGGACCCGCCGGGGACCGGCGGGAGGGGCCCCGGGACCGCGGGAGGGTGTCGGGGGGCAGGAGCGGGGCACGGCCGAGGGGACCCGGGGTGCCGGTGGGGCAGGAGAGTGCCGGGGTGCCGGGCAGGAGGAGCCCCGGGCGCCGCTGCCCGTCCCGCTGCCAACTTGCCGGCGGTCCGTGCCGGGCGCGGGGCCCCGCGGGGGGCGGCACTTTACCTACTAGGAAATCCGAGATGGCCAGGTTGAGGAGGAAGAAGTTGTTCTGGGTGCGCAGGCTGGAGTCCGCCACGAAGGCGAGCATCACCAGCGCGTTGCCGGCCACGGTGACGGCGATGAGCAGGGCCATGAGCGCTCCCAGCGCCGCCGTGCCCGCGGCCGCGAAGCGCCCGGCGGCGGCCGAGCCGTTCAGCGCCCCGCCGCTCTCCATGGCCCCGCCGCTCCGCCACCGCGCCGCCGCCGCGGGCTGCCGCCACTCCCCGCCCCGCCCGCCCCCCGCCCCGCTGGCGGGACCGCCGCTCCGGCCCCCAGCGTCCCTGCGTACCCTACACCCCCGCCCAGAGCAGCCCCGAATCCCCCGGAGCGTCCCTGCATCCCTACAGAGCATCCCTGAATCCCCCCAAGCATCCCCGAGCATCCTCACGTTCTCCCTCGCCCTCTCAACGCGGGAGTGCCCCTGTATTGCCCCAGGGCATGTCTGAATCCCTTCACAGCAAACCTGAGCATCCTCCCATTCTCCCTTCCCCTCTCAATCCGGGACCATCCTTGCTTTACCCTGGAGAGTCCCTACATCCCTCCAGAGCATCCCTGAATCTCTCCAAAACATCCCCAATCATCAAAACCATTCTCTCCCATTCCCCTTCCCCTCTCAGCCTGGGAGCATCACTGCATTACCTCAGAGTATCCTTGCCCCCACCCACAAATCATCTCTACATTCCTCCTTCCCCTCTCAGCTCAGGAGAACCCTTGAATTCTCCCAGATCATTCTTGCTTTTTGCACAGCAACATTCATGCATCTCCCCAGAGCATCACCCAAGAGAGAGGCCATGAGGAGTGCTTATGGTTCCTGCCCTGAGGTCTGTGCTTTAATGAAGAGAAGTCAAGGCTTCACCTGCCTTTTAATCAGAGGCAGCCAGGAGGGCTCCCTGGGCAGGTGGAGCATGGAGGGTGATGCTTTTGCCTGTGCCCCCCCCGAGTGGCAGGAGGAAGATGCAGACCATGCCACTTGGTCTGCAAACCAAGGAGCCCTTGCTCCTAGCCCCAGCTCCAGGAAGGTGATTAGTGGTCCCTCCTCCCTCCACTTGTTCAGCTTTTCATGGCTAAAGAGAATAACTTTTGTCTGAGTACTTGCTTTAGCTGGTGATGCTGCAGGATGAAATTACCTACAACTGTACAACTGCTGTGCATGGTCCCTGCTCCAGACCTCAGGAGTGGAAACATTGTCACGTGTGTCATGTCACTGGGCAGGATCAGCTCCACAGTCAGCACCTCTGGAGATCGGCACAGGGATGTGCAGAGCAGCAACACTGGAAACCAGGGAAGCATACTGACTGGAATCGCTGGCCAAGCACTCTTCTTTCTGGAGAAGTCTGGTAAGTCGTGTGTGTCTGTGAAGAACAGATGAAAAAAGCAAAGCAAGAAAATTGTGCAAACCTAAAAACATGACCAAAGCTAATGCCCAGGAGTTTTGCCGCCTTCTGATTAATCCAAAAGCTATTTTCACATCAGGAGCTGCTACAGACTCACTGAATTTCTCTTCAAACCCACTACCACAGCCACTGTCTTGATAGCAGTGGTTGATCCTGCTGGGAGAAGGCTGAGAGGGCTCTCTTGAATCACAATAAATCATTTGCAGCTGGCAGAGCTGAGTAGTGGGAGAACTCCACTCCTCAGTGCTCCCCCAGGAGTGGCCTTTGTGGCACCCACCAAAGGGTGGCCTCAACAAGGACCAGCCTCATCCTGTCCCTTAACGTGCCCGGCACTGGGACAATGTTCTGGCCTCGTGTTTGGAGCTGGGCTCTCTCTTCCCAGGTCTGCACAGAGCTTGGCATCCGGGCAGACCTGCAGCTGCCTCGGTTTGTCCCCTTCCTCAGGGAGACAAGTGTCCCCAAGCCACTCCACTCCACGGACAGCTCAGTCTCCGCTGCTGCCGCGTCCCGACAGAGGATGTCACTGTGGGCTCGTGGGAGCCGCGGGTGGGAGAGCGGAGGATGCCGCGACAAACTCCTGGTCAGTGGGAGAACGGCTTCGAGGAACCTCATCTGCAACTTCAGCACTGCTTTGAGGATAATCAGATTAAACAACCCACCTGGCTGCCTTCCCTGCAGGGTGGTGAACAGCCTGGCTGGGCAGCTCCAGTGGAGAGGATCTGAATTTTATGCCCATCACCACAGATGTGATGGAGAAAGAGCTTTTTTTGATAACACTCATGATGTTTAATGAACCCACACACTGCTTTCATTGTGTGACTGTTTGTGATCTGGTGTTATTTGTGATTTATAGCCACTCAGTCAAACATTAGTATTCATTGAACTGTTTACAAGTTCCAAATTACCGTGTGCATGCTGCAGTGTTACCCCTAGGAGCTGTCTGCTGTTTCTTAGCTGCCATTCATTGTTCAGAGTCTTCCCTGTCCAGATAGGAAGCAAAAACCGTCTTTTGTACCTAAGCTGATTTCTAAAGTGATACAATGTAATGTGGACAAATCACAATTATTGTTTATCCAGAGTAAATTGCCAGGATTGTTCGATAAATGACAGGTGACAGAGCTGGTCCTGAAGTTTCGCTCTTGCTTCAGCAGACAGGACAAACATATTTCTAATATATTTCAGGAAATGTGCTATCTTGGTAATAAAACAAAGAAATCACCCAGCCTGAAGGGGTGGTCAGAACAGATCACATACAGATATGCAAGCAGATGGTGTGATAGCTAACGTTTGGACCTGGCTTATGCAGTACATATGCCACGTGGATGTTCCACGTGTTCATAAGTGCTTATATATTTCATATAGGGTGCATTCATCACCTTGCAGTCAGGCCATGGTGTCCTGTCCTTGGTTAAGAGGCTACCACAGACTCAGACCCCTAATCCCTGTGGAAGTACAGGGGCCAAAATTGGACCTTTCCAGAGGGTCAGAGTTGCAGTTCAGCTCCAAGCTCTCCTGAGCCTGATTTCTGTTTATTCCAAGGTTGTGCCTGAGAAGCAGGGTCTGGGGCTGGCAGATCCCAGAGTGGCTGAGGCTGGAAGGGACCTCTTGAGATATCCTAGGCCAACTCCTCTGCTGAAGCAGGGTCAGATACAGCAGGTTGCCCAGGACTTTGTCTGGTTGGGGTTTGAATATCTCCAGCAAAGAAGACTCCATAACTTCTCAGACAATCTGTTCCAGACTGCCCTTACAGTCAAAATGTCTTCTTTTTTCTGCTTCCTTTCTGTACTGAAATGTGCATGAGCTCCTCTGACAGGAAGCTGCCAAGAACCTGGATTCTGTGGGGAAATCGTAGGGGAAAAAAAGCTTATAGATCAGTAGAAATAGATTCCAGTGCTGTTGGAGGGCTGCTAATTTTGAGTCCTAATCTTATAAATTGTTTCTTACGTAGTAAGCCAAATTCTACATACAAATACCCTCGACTCCACGAGGCAGCAGATGGCTGAAAAATTTCAAAAATTTGCTGCCCCTCAACTCCAGGCACATCTTTAATTCAGTGCTTGCAGTGATTTGCTTGGCTCCAGCTCAGGAATCATCTGGAGCTTCGACATCAGAAGTGCCTCTGTTGTGGGGCACAGATGTGTGGGCAAAGCATCCCATCCACAGGTGAGCTCAGCTGCACTGGGGCACGTGTGTGTGCCTGACTGGGCATTGCTCTCACTTCTTCAGGAAAAGGAGAGATGGGAGTTCCCATTTCTCCTGGAACAAATCAAATAAAACCAATAAATCAGGTATTAACGACTCATAATCTGTTGGGACAGAAGTAACATCCCCTGGATGTCGATCAGCCTCCTTCCAACCTTCCGTGGAGGAATTTGCACTTTGATAACAGGTTTAGGCATGCATCATTGCAGTTACACAGGGAGGACAGCTGTGTCCTGAAATCAAGGGTTATGGAAATCAGAAGGCACATTAGCATCAGTAACCCTTAATGGGGAAACAAGAGCTTTTTTGACACCTTCTCTTCGTCCTGTGGCTGTCTCTCCATTTCCATGGAGGCAGAGTTTCCACACCGAGGAGTTTGCCTTTCCAAGGGGCAGTGAGGATCAGCAGGGCTGAAGGCAGTGCAAGCTCCAAACCTCCAGAAGAGGTGCTGTTATGGCTATGCACAAATCATAGTTTTTCCATTGCTTACTTCTGTCCCATGGAGCCAGTTTGCCTGTGAAACAAACTTTAAAGAAAGAGATGATTAAAAAACCTCTTTGTGTTCACATCTTTACTGATGAGGGTTGAAAGTGCTTTGGCATTCGCACAAGTATCCGTCACTATGAAACCCATCCCTTTGTTTTATTTCCTTTTCTTCTGCCTTTCATCACGGGAAATGTTTATTCTCTTGGGAAAATTCCCTTTTTTGAGATCCCCTTGCAAGTTACCAGAACACGTGGGTGAGGGTGAGGGCAGATGGCAGAGAAAAGAGATTCCAGAGTGGCTGAGGGCAAAAGGAGCCCTTGAGCTCCTGCTTTGCCAGACCCCAAAGCTACAGCACAAACCCTCAGTATAAATATTTTACATGTAGCATCAGTGGGTAGGACACAGAAAATGCCAGGGGAGCATTTCTCATGCTGGAGACGCCTTTCCAGTGAAACGATACTCTTTGATATATATTTCTCTTTTAAAAACAAACTCAGCAACAACTTGTCTGTCCAAACTTTGGGAGCTATTAGGGCTGAAAACCAGCATGGCAATCCAAACCTGGATGGGACATGAGGGTATCAGCTGCTGGATGTGCTTCATCCACTGCTCAGCCAGGTGTCAAAACGGCTTCTACTGGTGGCAGAATGTCTCTTCCTTACCATACTATCAGGGACATAGCTGAGCAAGTCTGATTTCATATAACGACAATGATGACTGGATCTCCTTACAAATGCTGAGAAATACCCTGTGAACCAGCTTTCACAAAGGTAGGAAGAGCAGTAACATCTCCATTCTCAAAGCAGCATGTGCTGAGAGCTGCCCTGAGCAGCACCAGTGGCTGCAAAGCCACCACGTCCCTGAGAAGGACCACAAATACAGGAGGGGAATTGTCCCTGTCTGGGCACACTGTGTGTTCAGAACAAGTCCTGTGCCTTTTCACTCCTTTCTTTTCCTTCCTTCTTTCCTCTCCTTCCTTTCTTCTTTCTCTCTGTTCCGAGCTGTAACCTGCAAATCCAAAAATGCATCCATTACTACAGGGAGACTGTTCATAGTCAGACCTGTCCCAAACTGCTGTGACTGTTTTTGGATTCCTGGG